AACTAGATTCCATTTCTAGAGAAAGCCTGAATTTCCAGAATGACTGCAGGACTTTCTTTGTGTTTTCATCACTGATTGTATCACACAGAACTTATTAACTTTCAGATTGATCAATTTCTGGACAAGCCCCCTTAGTGTGAATGTCAACAAGGACTAAGCTGACCTATAAGAGAGAGAAAGAGGAGAGGGAGAGAGAGAGGGAGAGGGAGAGGGAGGGAGGGAGGGAGGGAGAGAAAGAGGGGGGGAATGGCTCAGCAGGTAAAGGCGCTTGCTGCACAAACATGAGGACCAGAGTTCAGATCCCCAACGCCCATGTAAGTGCCAGGTATATGCAGTGGCCCACCTATAACTCAATACATGAAGCAGGAGATCACTGGGGTAAGCTGGCTAGCTACCCTAGCAGAATTGGTGAGCTCCAGCTGCAGCCAGAGACCCTGATAAATAAAATGAAGAGTAATCAAGGAAGACATCCAATGTCAGCCTCCAGCCTCCACACACGGGTACACATTTGCATCTGCACTTGCACACACACATATACACACACATAAACATACATGTATGCACACCACACATACAAGCAAAAAAAGTTTGGCCATGAGCTGATAATTGTTTCTTTTTCTGTTCCATTTCTTTTGTTGTTGTTTTGGGTTTTTGAGACATGATCTCATGTTGCACAACTGGCTTCTCAAACTTGCTGGGTCAGAGGTGGTCTTGAACTCCTGATCCTTCTGCTTCCACCAACCAAGTGTCAGTATTACAGGCATGGACTACCATGCTGGGCTATGAGTTAATCATTGTTGAAGCTGGGTGATGGCTGCATAAACGACTTTTATACTTTAACGTATGTTTGAAATTTTTTCACACACAAAAAAAACGTTTTATTTTAAATTTTGGTGTGTTTGGGGCACATGTGTCCGTAGTCTCAACTACTTGGGAAGCTAAGGCAGGAGGGTCACACATTGAGGGCCAGCCTTGGCATCACAGTGATAATTTATTAAAATAAATCTCTATTTTTGAGAATGATCCCAATCAGACAGACATGTTCCTCCTACCTTTGGATGTCAGGAATTAGGGATAGCTCTTTGGGCAAATTTGGCAACCTTGCCAGCTCCACTAGCCACTGTTTTGATGACAGCCACTGCAAGTATTTGTCTCATATCACAAATAACTAAAATAACCCAGAAGAGAATTGTCAGAGCAACTTTCACTATACATAGGCTTGCCAGGAACTCTTTCAGTGGTGGTAACATCACCATATTTCAAGAACTTAGGGACATCATCTAGCTTTTGGCTAGATGGTTATCAATCTTTTCTTTCAGCTCCACAAACTAACAAACAAGGTGAGTTATATGGCAATCCAGTACAGAGCCAGAGCCAGAACTGGTTATCTCAAATGGTAAAATAGTCACCCAAGCAGTGGAGCCAGTTCCTTCCAGGAGAGGGCCAGCTTTGCTATCAACAGCAACACTGCCACTGTGAACATTTTGGTCAGAAACATTCTTGACATTGAAGTCTACATTGTCTCCAAGAAAAGTTTCAATCCAAGCTTCATGATAGATTTAAACAAACCTCTTAGGACTTTGACCAGTGGGAGGGTGGCCACCATGCTGGGTTTGAGAATTCCAATCTCTACTCAGCTCATTGGGACTCTACTGATGCATTCATTTTTATAGCCACCTTGGAGGGGGCAGACACATGCCAGTTGTACAAGATGTTTATAGGATGCAATCCAAAGCAGGGAAGTTCCACTGGCATTGCCATCTTTATGGCTGACTTCCCATCCCTTGAGTCAAGACATCGTGTGTCTTCTGCATGCTGCCACCATTCCACCTAGAAATTAGCAATATTTCTACCATGTTAAGTTATGGCCAATATGCATTCTTCCTTAGCAACTTCCGCATATCTCTTCTGGATGTAGAGGATCCAATGGTACCCAATTTTCTACTACCAGCAATTAATTGCTTCAAACCCAGTGTATAAGCCATAAGGAGATGCCTCTGGGTATGCTCACCTTTGGAGACATTGTGGGGACCTAAAGGCCCCACCTTGCATAGGTCCAAAAGGAAGTTACTGGGGGGCGCGGCCTGGCTTGCTTTGAAAGTCTAAAGAATACTTCTGCACTGCTGAGGAGTGCATGATCAGCGCATGACCATCCTTAAGATACACCCTCTGGGTGGGGGGGGGGATTTCCAGGTGCCTTTATAAGCTTTGTAACACCTGTGATAAATGAGTCCCTCCTTGACTAGACTCCCCATTTCGTCTGAGTATCCCCAGTACTGGGGGCGGTGTGGGCTGGCGAATGGCTTACTCATCCCCAATCATCACTACGCGGGGGGTCGCTGGTTCAAACCCCCAGCAACTGGCGCCCAACATGGGGCTTGAAGGAAGGTGAAAAGAAGAAAAGAAAGAAGAAAGAAGGAAAACAGATTGGGGCCAATCGAAGTTTGGAGTAAGCAAGACCTGAAATATGGGTAACGCAACTTTTAAGTTTGAGGACGGTGCTTAAAGCGCTGAGAGATGCTTAAAAGCAGGGGATTGGATTTGTCAGATCCTGTAGCTCAAAAGGTTTGGGCAGAGGCGATTCACTTGGCTCCCTGGATACTTGGGGCTAATGTTTTTACTGGGGATACATGGGAATCATGGGAAGGGTTTGAGGAAGAATGCAGAAATGCAACAAAAGCGAAACCAAAAGTGGCCAAAGTAACAAGCAGCACCTCAGGAGTGCCCTGGCCAGCGTCAGAGCCTCCCGGGCAGAAGGGCGAGGTGAAGCGGAGTGCAGGGGGTCGGCGGTGAAAGCTGCCCACCCCACCCGCCTTGAACTAATGTGTGAGCTGGTCAGGGGCCCGTGGGATAGCTGGGCGGGGGTACCTGTCAATTAGCTTGCCAAGTTCAAGGCATGCTAGACCACATCTAAAAGCAAATTCTTAGGTCAATTTCCCAGGACACTTTAGGTACTGGATTTGAAGCTGTTTTAGCAGTGCTGACCTCTCTGGGGACTAGCCCCACCTACCTCAGCTTTCCTAACAGAACCTACCTGACATTCAGCAGCAACAAGATGGAATGGTTGTTAACTTGCTTGTCACTTTGGTGCCTTTTCTGAAATCACACAAAGTATTTAGAAAATAGACCCTGAGAAAACTGCACATTCAATTTTAACATTTTTAAATATTACCCAACATAGTTCTTGTTTGTAATTTTCCTTTTTCTCCAGCCCAGAAACCCTCCTAACAGTTAAAATCAGACCATGAAGCTAATGTCTATTGGAAGCAGGGAAGGACGGTCAGAGAAAGAACCCAGGTAAAGAGACACAATCCTGGTGCTACATATAGAAAACTAAAGTCCAAGAGCAGGAAAACACATGGCTGAGAAGCCAGTGCACAGTGCAGGTAGCACTGGAGAGTCCCACATGCTGCATGCGTAGCCAGCACCCTCCCATCTACCAACCATAGGTGACACACAGAGGGGCGTAGGGAAGAAAAAGACCAATAGTCAAAGACAGGAGAACAAATAAAGGGCATGCCCTGATGCCAGATTCACATGAATCACCTCCTTCTAAAAGAAGCTATTCCCTGAAAAGGGGCAGGATGAGGAAGGAGCAGGAAGAATATTGAATTTGTCCTAATTCAGGACTTCCCTCAACATTTATCCTAAAGAGCCTGCGTTCTGAACCAGAAATAGCTAGGTTATCCTTAATTGGCAGGTAAAATTCTCAGTTCTCACTAGAAAGATATGGGGGTAGGGTATGTATGTGGTTTGGAGCTAAAATGAGTTTGTCTGTCTGAGTTGTGACTGAAATTCAAACCACATGTGCTAAGCCTGAACTTTACAATGAAAAACGTAGGAAATAACACTTCATAGCACAAAGCAGTTCTGGGATGTCTTCTTGCCCACAGCCTAATTACTAGGTCTAGGGAGGAAAGCCTGGGAAGCCACTTTACCACATCATCGACTGCATCTTTCACTCCTGTGATGGATAGCACTGTGATCAGGGGTATCATAGTTGTATACCATGGCAAGGAGGAGATCTGGAGAATTAACTCTGAGAAGGAAAAGGAGAGTCAGGAAACTTAAAGAATAATGTATTTCCCACAATTCCCTGCCTCCACCCCCGTTTTCACCTCCTTGGGTTTATAATAAACTCAATGATTGTAGGTGCTTTTCCTAGGTGCTTTTCATTGGGGTGGCCTTCCTATAATCCCCCAAATATAAGTAAACATTTCCCACAGGAGGATAAAGAACAGCTATATGATGCTACTTAGATATTCTGAATGTCTCTTTGTCTTAATTGGAAAGAACCATTTCTTCTCTAATAACAAAAGGGTCTGGAGGGTAGAATGTTAAGAGTGGACATGGGAAAACCACACATTCTCCCACACCCCTTTTATTCAAGGGCAGGTAGGACGATCTGTCTGCTTCTCTCAACATGGGCCTACTCTACACTGAGTCCTTTCCTTGTGCTGGCTCTCTTATATGCTAGTCCATTTTCCTCCCTTGGTACATGTCAGCTTCCTGTCACAGAGACTGGGAGGAGAAAAAGGAACAGGGTTCTAGCTGGGATTGGAATGAAGAGTCTAGATGTGGTTTACGATCAAGCTGATCCTTGGCCATGCAACCATAATGAAGGAGCTCCCCTCCCATGGAACTCCATTGCCTTGTCTCCCTCTTGGGAAGGCTTGCTTCACACTGGTTAATCCTGACTTCTGGTGCTCTAGTGGACAGGCCAAACCCTCAGCCATCCATTTGCCCATGTCAAAATAAGGATGCTATGGCCCAGTCTAGGTATTGCTTATACAACCTGACCCATGAGAAGATGAGAAAAGCTTCTGGAAAATGCTTCAGGAGGACATACCTGTAGGAACAGCAAAATGAGGAAATAGGTATTTGCAAGTCTCTGGAACCATTCAAATAGGTTCAGGGGCAGGAAGTTAAAAACATTGTATTTTGAAGTCTTGATGGTATTATTCTGTTGGTAAAATACAAGCAAAAATAATAACAGAAAGCAAGCACATCTAGAAGAAAAAGACAGCTCAAAACTGGGTTGATCTGTTTCTTCACTCGATATTCAGGATATGATGACTGAATGCAGGGTAAGAGCTAAACATTGTGGCAGGAACTGTGAACACACAGGTGAGTGACACAGGTCACTTTTCTTCAAGGGGCAACAGTTATTGGAGAAAGAGAACTAATATTTTAAAAAAGATTTAAAAAATTATGTATAAGAGTATTTGCATGCTTGTATGTATGTGTACCACACATGTGCCTGGTACCCAGAGGCCAGAAGAGGATGTTGGATCCCCTAGAAGTGGAGTTACAGTTGTGAGCTGCCATGTGGAGGCTGGGAAATGAACCTAGGTCCTTTGCAAGAGCAGCAAATGCTCTTAACCATGAAGCCATCTTTCTAGTCCTGACAACTGACATTTTTACAACCACATTTAACTCCCATGATCATCATATGATCATCATATAAGGTGAATGTTACCATAGCATAATGTTTCAAGGTGAGTAAAGGACAAGGGCTACAGTCAAACTCAGGTCTGTCTGATGCCCAAATCCAGATTCCTCTCTGCTTTAAAAAAATTTTAGTTTTTATTTTATGTGTATGAATGTATTGCCTGCGTGTATGTAAGTGCACCTCTATCATGAATGCCCACAGAAGTCAGAAGAGGGTGTCAGATCTCCTGGACTGGAGATACAGATGGTTATTAGCCACCATGTAGATGCTAGGAATCGAACTTGGGGCCTCTGCAAGAGTAGCCAGTGCTCTTAACCCCTAAGCTATCTTTCTAGAACTTCCTATTTGCTTTTTATGCAGAGAGAAAATCTGCTCCGTTGCCACATCTTGAGCATTATTATCTAGAATTTCTAAATCAAAAGTGATAATTTCCTACAGGAACCACAAGCATGTAGAGTGATGTGTCTTTTCATATACTTGTAGTTATGTACGCACATGATTTTATAGAGAGCTACAGATGCAAGAATACACATGTATAACATGCACAAAAGCATTGTTTGAAACTATGGTACACACTGTAATTCTAGCACTTGGGAGGCTGAGGGAGAAGGATTGTGAGTTCAAGCCAGCTTCAGCTACCATAGTGAGACCCTGTCTCAAAGAACCAAACCAAGTCAAGCCAAGCAAAAGAAACAAACAAACAAAAATTGCTTGTAATTGTCAAAGACTGAAAACCCAAATGCCCATTTATAAAGAACTATTTAAAAACTATGCCAGGTGAGGTGGCACATGCCTTTAGTCCCAGCACTTGGGAGGCAGAGGCAGGTGGATCTTTGTGAGTTCAAGGCCAGCCTGGTCTACATAGTGAGTTCCAGGACAGCTGGGGCTACAGGGAGACCCTGTCTCAAAAAAGAAAAAAAGAAAAAAAAAAAGAGAACTGTTTAAAAACTAACCTAGTTCTGAAGAAAAAATATGCAGCCAAAAAAGGAAAAAACAGAAAAACTATTATGAAATTATGATTCTGAAAAATATTAAGATTCAGAATAGTATAAAATGTGGGGAAATAAGAACATATATTCATTTTCCAAAATGTAATTTTTCTTTTTAAAATTAAAAGAATATTTTGTACAAGTGTTTTGATTACCAGTATCTTTACTGGTATGTGTATAGTGCTGTATAGTGCCTTCAAAGGTCAGAAGAAGGTGACAGAGTTAAAGCCACCATGTGAGTGCTGGGAGTCGAACCCAGGTCTTCTGGAAGAACAGCAAGTGTTCGTAACTCCTGAGCTATCTCTCCAGCCCTCAAAATGTCATTTTTCATATGAGAACTGCCAAGGATGTAAAGGATTGATAATAACTAGCTTAAGCCAGGCACAGTAATTACACGCCTGCAATCCTAGCTACTGATAATTGGGAGGGTGTGATAGAAGGTTATCAAATCTGAGGCCATCTTGGGCTACAAAATGAGACCCTCATCTAAGAAAACAAAACAAAATAAAAATTTGTTTGGCAGGAATGTGAAAAATATGTGATTTCTACTGTAGGTAGAAATATTAATGAATATAATTTTTAAATTTGTTCTCATTAAATTTTGTTGTATGTCATACAGAATATCTCAAACAATCTGAATCATCTTTATAACCCCATTCCCACCAGAACCCTCCCATAGCCCCCCCCACTGGAACTCATATACTCTATTCTGGGTGTTAAGACCCACTGTGTCAAGTCAGTGTCCCCAGATGTTCCCCAAAAAGATTTTTATTTTTCAGTTGTATGTTTATATGTGTAGATTTGTTTTGAGTGCAGTACTCGCAGAGGTCAGAAGAGGGCATCAGATTAACTGGAGGTAAAGTTACAGGTGGTTAGTGTGCTGCGTGAGGTGGGTGCTGGGAACTGAACTTGGGTCCTCAGCAAAAGCAGTATATGCTTTTAACCACTAAGCCATCTCTGCAGCCACATATATAATTTTTTTAAAGGGCAATCTGGAAATATGCATCACTATAGTTTTTAATTGTCTTTCCCTTTTGGCCTAGTCCATTCACTTCTAGAAAGCTCTCATAATATATACACATACAAATATGCCAATTAATATGTAAAAGGTGTGTTTCCAGGACCATTTATCATAGAAAAATACTTCAAACATTTTAAATGTTCACTAACAGGAGACTGGTTAAATAAGTTGAGGCTTATTAATAAAATGGAAAACAATGCTGCTATTAAGTAAATGAAGTGTGTGTATTGTTAAAGATGTTCAAGTGAAAAGATAATGGAACTATTTGTGCAAAAAGGCTATAATATTTCCATTCTAAGATATACATATAAAGCCAAACTCTGAGCCATATCCTCCTGAGTTAAGGACACTGGGTTATTTTGGTTTCTGAGCTCTCACCACAGCATTGTGGAGAACCTTAAAAGAAAGTAGAACCCAGACCGTGGGTCCTGATCCACAACAAATTCCTCCTATCCAGTCCCCTTCGGAAATAGTCAATGGCAGGAGACTTAACTGGGCATTCAAAAATAGCGCTGAATTTTCTGTTGTTGGCCTGAAGAATTCTTTCTTCTGCAAGAAAAAGCAGAGAGCTGATGAGAAGGAGGCCCCTCCTAGATCAGCCTAGGTGCTGTCTGCCAGCAAAGGCTTTGCTAAGCTTCTCACACCTTCTTGTTGGGGATATCTGTTTAAAAGTGAGATTTCTGATGCTGGGATGTGTTTGACTAATGTGTACAAAGCTTTGGGTTTGATCCTCATCTCTGAATCCACTAGGTATGGTGGTGTAAAGCCTGCATCCCAGGAGTTGGGAGGTGGAAGCAGAAGGATCAGAATTCTGTTCAAGGTCATCTTCAGCTACCCTGGGATACATGAGATCTTGTCTCAAAAGAAAAAAATAAAAAATGAATTAAAACTTTTAAATGAGATGTTATAGCTAGGGGTGGTGGTGCATGATTATAACCCTAGCACTTGGGAGACTGAGGCAGGAGGATCTTGAGTTGGAGGCAAGCATATATAGTAAGACCTTGACTCAAGGTGCCAAAAAAAGGGGCTAGGGCTGTAGCTCAGCTGGTACTGTTTGTCTAGCATGTGTAAGGCCCTGAGTTCAATCACTAGCACCACATGAAAACTGGGCATGGTGACACACCTGTAATCTTAGCACTCAGGAAGTGGAGGCAAGAGGATCAGAAGTTCACAGTCATCCTTGGCTACGTAGTGAGTTTTCGTGTAGCCTAGCCTACATGAAACCTTGACTCAAAACAAAACAAAACAAAAAAACCGGGCATGGTGACACACGCCTTTAATCTCAGCACTCAGGTGCTAGAGGCAGGTGGATTTCTGTGAGTTCAAGGCCAGGCTAGTCTACATAGTGAGTTCCAGGACAGTTGGGGTTACAGGGAGACCCTGTCTCAAAAAAGACAAAAAAAAAAATCAGGATATAGGCTGAGATTAAAAGTTTCTTTGTACAGTGAATGGTGTTAACACAGAAACTCACAACTGGTCAAAGTACAGAGAACACAATGTCAGTGGAGTGCTCAGCCACAACCGGGACATCTACATCATACACCCTCCCCAAGGCTCATGGACCATCTCAGAAGAGGGGACAAAAAGATTGCAAGAGCCAGAGGCTGGGGAGGACCAGAGTGAAACAGTGTCTTCTGGATACAACAGGACCACTGTGCTCAGGAACTCATGGCAGCTGTAGTTGCCTGCACAAGACCTGCACAAGATCAAGTCAGTCAACATTCTAGCAAAGAGCGGGAAGGGACTCAGGAGCCCCCACCCTTGACTGAGGAGCTGTGCACAGCTGCTGGATTCTGAGAGAGGGAGGCTCAGTTTTCTCTAAGATTGTGGCTCCTAGCTGGTCGACCACATTGCAGTAAATGGCCCCAAACCCACAAGTATTTGTACAGCACAAACTGGAGTCGATGAGTTACTGAAAAATAAAAATAAAAAGGTCACAAAGTTTGCGGGGTAGGGAGGTGGGGCAAATCTGGGAGGAGTTAAGAGGAGGACTTCGGGATGAATGTGATCAAAATACATTGTATGGATTTCTCAAAGAATTAATAAAAATATTTTTAAATAGGAAAAATATAAGAAATAAAAGTGGAAAAAAGTGTTTCAGCTTTCTAGAGGCAACAAAACAAGCATCTCTTGAGGAATATATAAACACTTCAAAAGTATTCTGAGATTACACCACCACAAAATTGCTGCCAAGTGCCCAAATCTTGTCCTCTCTTTTTTATTTTTTGGAGCTAGTCATGGTGGCATACGCCCTTAATCCCAGCACTTGGGAGGCAGATCTCTGTGAGATCAAGGCCACCCTGGTCTACATAGTAAATTCTAGACCAGCTAGGGCTATAGGGAGAGCCTGTCTCAAAGAACAAACAAAACCTCCAATGTTTCCATTTTGATTCATTTATTTTTATTTTAAGTGTATGAATGTTTTGTCTGCATGGACATAAGTGTACCCCATGCATGCAATACCCACAGAGGTGAAAAGAGGGCACCAGATTCCCTGGAACTGTAGTTACCAAAGGTTGTTAGTTGCCATGTGGGTGCTGGGAACCTGGTTCTTCTGCAAAAGCAGCCAGTACTCTTAGCCACTGAGCCATCTTTCCAGGCTCCTGGTTCTCTTGTAAGTCAATTCCTAGATTTGTTTTAGGGAATGTGAGGCTCTTTATCTAAACCTACCCTAATACTATAATGTGTCTGTGTCTGTATCTGTGTATTGGATTTTGCCCATGGTTCCTGGCTCCTAACTCCCTCCCTGAGGCAGGGCCACAAGAACTAGATTTCTCTTCCCTAAGAAAGTCATAGAAACTAATCATCTCCCACTTTATTTTTTTATCTTGGAGTTAGCCATAAAGAAATTCCCTGATTACCTTGTCTCATAGTAAACTGTAAGACCCTCTTCATTCTGGATTGGTCCTGTCCAGTACATGGAGGCAGGAACACTACACAGAGAGGCCAAGAAGAGTCTGGACAGGACTTGTTGGGTTCTCTACCCAGTCTACTAGCAATCATGCCTATGCAATAAAATCTCCATAAAGTCCCCACAGGAATGGGGCTCAATGCTTCCAGAAGCTGAATCCTTGGGGGCTTACAGGAAGGTGCGATAGGAGGTAGTGTACCCTGACTCCACAGAGATGAAGTTCCTGCACATAGGACCCTTCCAGACCTTGCCTCGTCTTCATCTGGCTCTTATTTTAAAGTGGCCTTATGATACACGGTAAACACAAGCAGAATGTTTCCCTGAGTTCTGTGGTGCTCTAGCAAATCAATCAACCTGAGGGTGGAGGGGAGGCTGTCACAAGAACCACAGTGTGTAGATGGTCAGTTAGAAGCTCCAGAGGCCTGGACCTGTGACTGGTTTTGAAGTACAGACAGTTGAGTCGAGCCAACTCCAGAGACCTGACATTACCGGTGTGGAGACAGTAAAGAACTCCATGGACTAGAGGGCTCAGAGCTGGTGTCTGCCACTGCAGAATCATCTTCTTGCTGGTGAGGAGAAAGCTCCATACCATTTGGGTCAAGTCTTCTGTATTGAGTGTAGCATAAGAACAGAAGAAAAACAGACTGTTTCCCTGGCATAGTTGCTTAATTAAATTTAAATTAATAAATCATCACTGAGCTTCTGCTGCATAGAAGTTAGGGTGCTGGGTGCTGTGGAGGGAGAGGAGAGAAAAAGCTGAGGACAGAGTCACAGACTTTACAGGATTTTAGTATAGGAATGAGTCTGTTAACACCTGGCAAAATCATGTATGAAAAACACAGATGTATTCCAACTATTAGAAATGGTGAGCATGTTATGGAAACTGTGGGGGTTTGGTTCCAGATACCCATGGGTACCAAATTCATGATACTCAATTATTATATAAAATAATACAACATTTTCATAGAATCTTTGCAATCCACCTTCATATTTCAAATCATCTCTAAATTAAATATAATATCTAATTGAATGTAACTGCTATTTAAATGCTTATTAAGCTAATTTGTTAATATTGTTTAGGGAATGGTGAAAAGAAAAAATTCCATAAATGTTTAGTACAGACACAATTTTTCTTTCATACATTTTCAATCATGGTTGAATCCATGGACATGGAGCCCACAGATATGGAGGGCTGACTATATAATACATATGTATTGATATATAATCACTAGGTATTGCTGTCCTGAATGAAGTATTCCTGTAATCTTTCAATTCGTCCTTGGTTCAACAAGAATTTATCGAGGTTTTGGCAGGTCGGGCCCTATGCTGACAATCTTAGGGTTGTCAAATGAAGAAAACATCATCCCTGGCCATCTTCAGATCCCTAATCCTAGTGGGAAAGACAAATAAAATGCAGAAAATAAAGACAAATGCAGAAGGGCAGTGATATATGTAAGCACAGGGCAGTACGGAATGGAGATGTGAAAAAGTGGGACGTGGAAATATCACTGGAGGATGAAGAACCAGAATGCTCTGACTCCATTTTGGCTAGCTTCTTTAGACAAGCCCAGACAAGCTCAGGCATATTGTACATGTAAAAGCCTTATAAGGTATGAACAAAAACTTCTGACTCTAAAAGATATTAGTCAGCACATTCCAATGCCCTGAAGACAGCCCCTACCGATCAAGACTTTCCCCGTACACAGGATATGGGGACATCCAATTATTTTAAAAAGATGCTTGGCGAGTGTGGGTTTCTGTGGAGTGTCCCAATAAAAGCTCCTGCCTGCTATTGTTTGGGGCCAGACTCCATATTTGGCTCATGAAGTCTGTGCCCGTATAGCCGCCATTTGGTTGTTGTCCTTTTTTTAAATTTAAATTCTTAAATAAACTTTTTGTACAATCTTTTTGGGTATCTGTGGGAATTATTCTTGATTCTCAAACCCTAACATAGACCAGGCTGCCCTCGAACTCACAAAGTGCTGGGATTAAAGGCATGCGCCACCAGGTCTGGCCTTTGAGTATGAATGTGTTGCCTGCATGTATCTAAGTGTACCTGTGTTGTGCAATGCCCATGGAGGTCAGAAGAGGGCATCAAGCCACCCTGGGGTTCAACTGAGGTCAGGCAGATGAGCTATTGAACCCAGAGCTGGAGGAGGATGGGGGACACCCCGACTCCTCTTCTGTTGAGGGGTCATGCTCCAGTCTGACGTGGAATCCAGGCGGGACTGACCCAGAGTCTTGGCCCAGTCCCACGTGGAATCCAGGCTGGCCAAACTTTTTGGGAAAGGAACAGGGGCAGCCTTCTCAGCAGACTCCATGTGCTGCGAGATTTTCATTTCTCCCTCTAGGGAGCCGCTGTCTCATACTGTCCTCACCCTCTGCTCAGAGCTCCGCCTTGTCTATCGACTTTCCATCCTACTTCTTCTCATTCTCATTCCTCTCCTTATATTCTTTTTTCTTGAAGCTTATCCGATGACGGGCCAGAAAGTCTCTTCATCTTCAGCTCCCCTTGATCTAGTTCTTAGTCATTTTCAGGACTACAAACGAGCAGCTTCAAACATGTTTGGACTCTGTGTCAAGCTGACCCACCTTCAGACCCTCTGCACCATCGAATGGCCCTCCTTTGAGGTTGAATGGCCATCTGAAGTGTCCTTTAACCTGCCCCTCATCTACAGGGTTCAAGGAGTTATCTTTGGGGAACCAGGGCACCCTGACCAGATCCCATACATCCTAGGTTGGCGATATCTGGTTGCTGCCTCCCCCCAACTAGCTGCATCTCTTACTGCTGCCCCCACCATCGGCGATATCTGGTTGCTGCCCCCCCAACTGGCTGCATCTCTTACTGCTGCCCCCGTCATTGGGGCCTAAGGGGCCAGCCACTTTGTTTCCCCTAAAGAAAGTCCAGACCAAAAACCCATCAGGTCCCAAGGTTCTTCCCTTGGCACCAGAGGAAGATTTACTCTGGCCACTTTACAGGGCCCCAGTGAGTTCTGGGATAGACCTAGGGAATGCAGGTCATGAACATCTTCTTCTTCTTCCAGTCCTTCCTAGTCTCTGTCCCCAGCATCCATGGCTGAGCCAGCACCTCCCGTGGCCAAGCCCAGTCCAATGCACGCTCGCTCGTGGGGGGAGGGGAGAATTGTGCAAGCTCTTCCCCTGAGAGAGATTGGGCCCTCAAGGGAGGATGGAATTTCCCCAGTAGTGTACTTTCCCTTTTCTACTAATGACTTGTATAATTGGAAGTTACAGACTCCCTCCTTCATGGAGAAGCCTCAGGCCCTGATTTCCCTCCTAGATACCATTCTTCTTACCCACCAATCCACTTGGGATGATTGCCAACAGTTATTGAATATCCTGTTCACCACCGAGGAATGGAACCACATCCTAAGGGAATGCAGACACGTGGTCCCTGGAAATGATGGGTGACTGACAGAGAATAAGCTTTCCCTCTCATGAGCCCAACAGAGGGGTGGGATTATAACAACCCCGAAGGTAGGGGATGCCTAAAGGTCTATTGCCAGATTCTTATGGGGGGGTCTCTGGGTAGCTTCTAAGTGCCCCACCAATTTGTCTAAGGTCAGTCAGGTGATGCAGGAAGGGATGAGTCTCCTGGAGTGTACCTGGAATGCCTGTTAGAGGCTTTCCAAACTTATACTCCCATAAATCCAGAGGCCCCAGAGAATCAGATGGCCATCAATATGGCTTTCGTAAATCAGGCAGCTCCAAACATAAAATGAAAACTTCAAAAACTGGAAGGTTTTGAGGGCAAAAACCTTTCTGAGCTGATGGCGGTGGCGAACAAACAGAGAAACGCCTGAAGAAAGACAACCAGAAGGGCTGGCTAGGATATTGTTGGCTGAAAGAGCAACGAAACCCAAATGAGGGGACTGACCCTCTATGAAAAAGGGAACCTGAGCCCCGCAACCCCCACAGGAAGGTCGGCCCCACCTTAAAAGAGACCCATGCACACATTGTAAGCAGCTGGCAGCTGGGCTAGGGAATGTCCTCAAAGGACAGGATCCCAGCCTCCTTCCAAGCCCAAGATCCTTGAGTTGGCAAACCTAGAAAACTGAAGGGGCCCGGGCTTGGCAAACCTCCACCATGAGCATTGGGTGACCCTACAAGTGGAGGGACGAGCCGTCAACTTCCTAGTTGACACCAGAGCACAATATTCAGTTTTAAAAGCGCTTATGGGAAAATTGACCAGTAAACGCACCTGGGTGCAAGGGGCCATGGGAACCACTCAGCACCCTTGGACTACCAAAAGGGAAGTAAACTTAGGTAAAAAGACAGTTTCACACTCCTTTATGGTGGTCCCAGAGTGCCCATATCCCTTACTGGGTAGAGATTTGCTAAATAAAATGAAGGCTCAAAGCCATTTCTCTGGGAGAGGACCTCCTGATGTGACTGTACC